TTTTTTTTTCTTTTTTTCTTTTTTCCGTCGCTGCGCTCGACCTCCCCTGCCCCTCCTCTCCACATCTCCTCTTTCTCTCGCAGATAACCTAGGTAGAGGTCCGGGTAGAAAAACTTACACCATGCATCCTCTGACAAGTCGTACAATGGCAATACTTGCTCGCCAACGGCTTCTCTCTGCTCAGTTCATACTGGATCGCGCCGCAGTGGCATTTGCCCTTCCACTTGACGTCAAAGTTCTTGCCGCCGCTGCTGTCGTGGATCTTGTAGGGGGCGCGGAACTTCCACTGGTCTTCCGGTCTGTCGGTCTGGTTGCTGGATTGGTACTGGTGAGGCTCGTTGCCTTCGGAACGCTTGTTGCCTTCTTTGTCATTGTACATTTTGAGAGGGGGGTGGGGGTTGTTGAGATGGGGCGGGTTGTTTGGAAGGTTGTGGTGATTGGAAGGGCGATGGAGGGAAGAAGTGGTTTGGAGAAGACGGTGCTGGTGCTGGCTGTAGCGGGACGTAAGACGCGGGTGAGGAGCATAACCTGCGTGTTCAATCTGCGGTTCAAGCTGTGAGTATGCGGGTTGGAATGCGGAGATTTGTTTGTTTACGTCAGTTGTTTGAGTGTTTGCTTTAGGTTGTCATTCAAGCTCCAAGAGCTCAAGTCGATCGTGGATTAATTTCTGGATGTTCGCCGCGAGGAAGATATCAGTTGATATTTTTCAATTGCCTGAGTATCAAACAAAGTCTAGATCCAAACATCTACAAGTTGCAACAGCAGCTCCTCAGTTCTCCTTATATCCCCCTTGGCATCTTCCCCTCGTCACCTTGTCATATTTCGTCTTTCGTCACACGTTCGTTGATCTCCCGTCCCTTCTTCATCTTTGCAGTTTTGCTCTTTCCTCTTTTTGCTCTCATTTACTCGCCGCCCCCGCCGCCCGTTCCAAAAGCTCCGGGCCGGAGATCAAAATCAATGATGCTGTTTGCGTGCTCAATCGCTGTCGTCACCGATCAACGGGTTATTGCAGTTGCCAATCGAGGTTAAATGTTCAGGAACGGACAACGGGGGCGGTCCATCGCCGATGGATGTGGGGTAGCGGTGACGTCACTATCGATAGCTCCATTTTGGTCGCTCGAGTCCTCGACAAGGGAGAGACCTTGCACAAAGATGAATGTGAAACTGTTGCGAGACGGCAGGAGGAATTTGCATTGGTCAATTGCACTGCGAGGATTGGGCGTGGTTTTTGTTTGTTGTTTTGTTTATTTACAGCTTCTATGGAAGGGCCGGCTGGTGTGAAGTCATCACCAGTGTTGCCCCCTCTAGTGGGGTTCCTGATTTGGGGAATGTATGTACATATGTAACCCTTAGATATGTGCATGTCTAACCCTGGTGTTGTGTCGACACCACACCGGGGCATCAACTTCCCGTCTCTTTCTTCCTTTCTTTCTTTCTTCCCTTCCTCTATCAAACCAAGACCACCGAGGATCCGGCCCCAATGGTTGGTACTCAAAAGTTGTGGTCAGAACGGGCGTTTATATCCCTGACGAGTGTCGTCCCTCTCAAGAATCCTAAGAAGCGTAACGGTGTATGACCTCAAGCGTGACGGCCTAGGAGGCCATGCATGAAGTCTTCAACCAAGTCTTCAAAAAATCTGCTCGTTCTTGACACACTCAACAACACAGCTCGCACCCTCCACATCGACCCAATATCCCGTAACCTTCAGGCCAGCCGTCTTGCACAGCTTCCTGTATCCCTCCTCGTTCCTCAGCTTTCCACCCAAGTTCAGCATCACCATATCCACCAAGCGGTTCTCGGGCGAAGGCTTGTCCAGCAGAACTCCCTCCATGATGACGATCTTTCTGGCGTTGTCGCTGAGCGCAGCCCTCACTTGCTTCAGAATCGCGACAGCCTGCTCATCGCAGTAGTCCAGAAGGACACGACGAAGGACGTAAACAGCTGCTCCATTGGCGTCCGCGGGCTGACGATTGAAGAAATCATGCGCCATGGTCTTGACTCCCTTCAACCTCTCATCACCGGCCTCGATATTCTTGGCGACTTGGGCGATAACCTCGGGACGGTCCTGCAAGATGCACTGCTCCGGCTTGAGCTCCGGGATCTGGGCCAGAAGATTGGCTAGGAAGTGGCCCAGTCCGCCGCCGACGTCGACTACAATCGGTTGGACGTTTTTGTTGACCAAGGTAACAAAGCCGTCGTTGTTGTTCATCTTGTTGATGAACTCAGAAACCTTGGGCGCCTCCCGAGCAACATCCGCAAGCCAAGCAAGGCTGAACTTCCTGTTCGGATCTTCAGAGTTGACGCCGCGATAAACACCAACGCCCAAGTCGCCACCCAAAGCGCCCTGCGCACCCTTGTCCTTGGCCGCCATGGCCATCTCAAACATGCGCGCGTACTCCGGGTACATGGCTTTGACTTCCCAAGGCGCCATATCCGGATGACCCCAGCCGAGAGAGAAGGGCGTCTGGACGAAAGGTCTGTTGCCATCCTCTGCGGGTCTTCCGATATTCACAGAGCTGACAGTGCTGCCCTTGATGCGCTTCTCGTAGACCAAAATATGTTCGTCGAAAGCCATAGGGTAGGGCTCGACCTTGCCGCGTCTGCTGAAGTACTCGGGCCACTTCGCGAAGCCCTTCATGCCGTTGCCGAAACTAACGATGGCGATGGCAGCGGTGGCCGGCGAAGTGTTGGTACGCAGAAGGCGGGAGATGCGACTGTGGGAGACGTGTGTGGGGGGACCACTCTCGTTACCATCGACACGGGAGCCGATCAATTTGCCAGTGGAGATCAACATGCCTGCAAAGCGGGAGACGAGGTTCACATCAGCTTTGATGGCGCGCGCAAGGTCGATGATGGAGATGGAGCCCGTCAGAGGGATGTGGTCGAATGCGCGCCAGGTAAGGAAGATGTTCCAGGCTGCAGTGTCGGCAATCTGCGAGAGAGGTTTGTCAGTTGGATACGCTACAGTGTTTGGGGGTAGAGAGTGATGGTGCACTTACGGCGGCCATCTCCGACATGAGTACGGCCATAGGCGGGCCGGTCTCAAAGGCGATCTTCTTGCCGAGCTTGGCGATGCGCTGGCGGAGCATCATCTCCTCGGGCGACGGCATAGGGGGCGCATGGGAGCTGGCATCGCTGGGCTTTGAGTCAGGACCGCTGGGCTTGCGCTCGAGGGTCGCCTTGAGCTTCTTCGCGTCGGCGAGGAGGTCTTCAGCGGCCTTGACGAAGTCAAAAGCCGGGGCACTCGAGGCGCTCGGGGTGGCAATGGGGGTGGTCGCCTGCTCGGTCTTCAGCTCACTCTCCTTGCTCTTGTTGTTCTCGTCGACAATCTTGTGCTGGCCATCGTTGCTGCTCTCATCCTCGCTCTTAGCATCAGGAGTCGGCACGAATGAGCTGTGCGACTCCATGTCCTCGCTCTTGCTCTTGTTGTCGGACTCGAAGGTCGACATCGACATGTTGGATTTCGGGGATGCCATGTTTGGGCTACTTCGCGATCGATCCGCGCAGTTTCCGAAAAATCTTGTGGTCGCAAGAGTTCGAAAGTTCAGGGCTGCTGGATTTCAAAAGCTTTTGTACCCTCAGCTCGAGTTGTCATCTCATGTTGTACACCCATGGCCATTCACCTCCCATCCCTTCACTGGTCGTTCGGACATAAGTGGCTCGATTGGGGCCATCTGGGCGGTTCAGCTTCCCGTCAGCTCGGAGTGAATGGACTACACTCGGCGCCGCTTCACGTCATGGACAAGTTGGGTGGGGAAATGCGCAAATAAATGGCAATAATGGCAACAAATGATTCCGACCGACATTCCTTCGCTGGTTTTGTGGGAATGAAGGAGAGAGACGGGAGAAGTAAATTTGATGGTGGCCGGCACGGCAGGAGTATTTCAAACCCTTGGTCTTTGGGTCAGCCACACGGGTGTGGCTTACTTTTGTCGGTCCCGAAGGTTCACTTCAGTTTGCCAGCGCCTGCCGTGAATGGCCGGGGGGTGTCGAGGAGGGTCGGGACCTGGGAGTCGAGGAGGGTCGGGACCTGGGAGTCGGTGGTCGGAAAGGAGCCGCCGGACTGAGATGGTGTTTCCTCTCAGTTCCGTCCTCGACAACTGAGCAGGTAAGTGCAAGTGCTCCATCGTTTGAGGACGAGGTAAAGTGCGCAACACCGAAGGATTCTTTCCCCGTCGCAACATATCAAATGGTCGTGAATATGGACGGCACACACAGTAAAGTACATCTTGGACATACTCTGATCATGCTCAATGTATGAACCGAGTGTTTCCTTGTATCTTCTTTCCCTCTTACGCTTTTACTTCTGTTTTACACGCAATGGAGGCTAAATTGATACGCTTCGCTCAACCCATTTTTTTCCTTCGCTTTATTCCACTCACATCTTCACCGTCTACGTGAGTTGTTCTCACTCAATGGACTTGATAAACATGGGTGTTCATCGTAACCTGGCCACGTTTGGCTCCCACGTCAGTTCAATGAAGTAACCGGGCTAACGAGAGATTCCAGACCCAACTTGAGCTTTACTCCTGTATGCGATTGATCGCTGGATGACCAAACGCATAACACCCACTCCTTCATTTCTCAAACGTTTCCGCCGCACTTTACCGGAGTACCTGAGCACCTGAGCACCTGTTGAGTGTTGTTCTTGACCAGTGACACAAAGGATTGGAAATCCCACTCCCGTTCATGTACCCGGTGGTTGCTTTACTGCCGATACTACCTCCATGTTCATGATGCCTCCAATCTCCAATCTCCAAGAAACTTCATCGCCCATTTCTCCGGACGGGCTGACGGTCGTTCAGCCTACCACCGATGGTTGACCATTTCCGGCAAAATGGGGCAAAACACTATAACGGTGTCTTATGACCCGGTGACAAACCCTTGGGGAGTCGCCATAGGCTGAGTAGGTCTCGGCCATATTAGTAGCAATCACGGCCATAGTGTTTTCGATGCGTCGAGACGCACTGGGAGCCCAAGATGGGAAGTGATTGGCATGTTGATGGATGGTCGAAGGTAATTTAACCTTTGAATGTCTTTTTGGTGATGGACAAAGAATGATGGGTGATGGGTGAGGTTAGTACCGGGTAATGACTGAACTTATGGACTCGATGCTAATGCCATGCCCCTTTTCCCCAGTCTTTCAATAGTTCCTCTCCCGGCCTCAGAGTCTTGGTACTCCCATAAAGTCCACCCGTCGTCCTCTTCCCGGGAAGCAATCCCTTCTTCTCCTCCTTCCTTCTCCCTTCTCCCCAAGCGCAACGCCACAGCACATCGACCATCTACACACCAACCTTTCGGGCCACAGCAACCATGCTCTGGCACCCCCTCACCCTCGCGAGCCTCGCCGGCCTCGCCGCCGCCGCTCCAACCATGCTCCGCTTCGGCTGCTCCCAAATCGTCATCGACCGCATCGACCCCCTCGTAAACCCCGGGCAGCTCCCCTCCCCTCACCTCCACCAAGTCGTCGGAGGAAACGCCTTCAACGTATCCATGCCCTCGCAAGACATCTCCCAACTCGCAAGCTGCACCACTTGTTCCTACAGCGACGACCTCTCCAACTACTGGACCGCCAACATGTACTTCCGCGCGCGCAACGGGTCGTATAAGCGCGTGCCGCAGATTCCCAACCGCGAACTTTTTCAGGATAAGTTCACGGCCCAGACGAAGGGCGGGTTCGTGGTTTATTATGTATCCCCTGGAAAAGGGCAGGTTACGGCTTTTAAACCGGGGTTTAGAATGTTGGTGGGCGATGCGAATCAACGAAGTAAAAAGGGGAACGGGTTGAAGAGCCAGACTTGCTTTAGGTGCTATTCGGGAGCGAATTGGAAAGGGGACGATGCGGCGCCTTGTCAGGATGCTAGGTACGTTTATCTGTCCGCTGGAGTGGGAAGAGGGGATGGTTGGAAGGAGAAGGGGAGACATGGTGATGATGAGTTGATGCTGATCCTGATGCTGACCGGGGTGAACAAACAAACAGACTTGACACGGAGGCCTTCCCTACCGGACCCTGCAGTGGTATCCGGTCCAACATTTTGTATCCCACGTAAGTCTTCCCTCTCCCGGCTCTCACTTTTCTCCCCTTCACCTTCCCCATCCCCCCTCCTTCCCTTTTGTTTCCCTAGCCCCACCGCTCCCTGTCAGTCCCTAACGAATGAAAAAACAGCTGCTGGGACGGCAAAAACCTCGATTCCCCCGACCACAAATCCCACGTCGCCTACCCGACCTCCGGGCCAGCTCTCTTCACCGGCTCCAGCGTCGGCTCTGCCTGCCCATCCACACACCCCGTCAAAATCCCGCAAATCATGCTCGAAATCGTCTGGGACACGACGCAATTCAACAACAAAGCGGACTGGCCGGCCGACGGCTCGCAGCCCTTTGTTTTGAGTACGGGCGACAACACGGGGTACGGACAACATGGCGACTACGTGTTTGGGTGGAAGGGCGATAGTTTGCAGAAGCTGATGGATGATAATAAGAATTGTATGGGCAGTGCGTGTGGAGGGCTGAAGGCGCAGGATGCGGGGAAGGCGAATGCGTGTCGGGTGAGTGGGAAGGTGAGGGAGGAGTGGGAGGGGTGGTTGGATAAGTTGCCGGGGATGGAGGGGATGCCGATGTGAATGTTAAGTGGAGGGGGATGGGAATAAAGAGGGTAGGGAGAGTGGTGGGGTTGGGAAAGGTGGTGGTCAGGGTGCTGGAGGTTGTGATAGAAGTAGATGAGTAGATTGGTGGACGGATTGTGAGCCTCAGTAGATGATCGTTATAGTTGATAGTTGATGCTGAACTCGGATTGCTTCGATCAGTTGCTTGCCATAAAATCATCCCGTGGATGCCTTTCACTCCTGTTTTCCGCGAGTGCCGTCTCTTCCCGTTGTCCTGCCGCCGGCCACCTCGCCGTTCACTTCCAGGTTGTTCCTCTTCATCCCAACTCCCTCCGTTCCGGGGTACACAAGCTCCCGTCCCTGTCCATTTTTCAGTGGGTCCGTTGGTGTAATGGTCAACACTACTTAACCTGCCCTCTTGTTGGACTACGGTTCTTCCGGCTCGTAGTATAGAAGCTGCAGGTCCGAGTCCGGTACACGGGTCATGCTTTTTAGTTCTTTTGCCTTCGCTGCTGTAATGAGTGAGATTATCAAAAACATAACGTTACCACCTACCTATCGACTACCAGCCATTTCCACTCCAATACCTCCCTCCCTTTAGATATACCACCAACAGCTCAGAGTGTCTTCTCAACCTCCTCAATCTCCCCCAAAAACCTCCTCCTCCCCTCCTCCCACTCACTTTCCCCCATCCGCCCGACAACCGGCACTCTCGCCGCCTCCAAATCTCCAAAGCCCGCAACCCTATACGTCGCCTCCTTGATACCCTTTAGTCCGTACTTGACCACAAACTCCTCCGCCTTGCTGACGACATATTGCAACTTGTTTAACTCTGCCTTTTCCGAAGGTCGGAGATCGTCCTTTTGCGCTAGCTCGAAAAGTCGCACCACGGTCTTGGGGTAGTAGGCGGACATGCCGTCGATGACGCCGGCTGCGCCGAATAAAACGATGGGGCCGAGTTGTTGGCCGAAGCCGGAGAAGACGCGGAAACGGTCGTGGTTGATTTGAGGGTCGAGGGAGACTTGGAGGTGGTGGGAGATGTTGCCGTGGGACCTGTTGACATATGGTGTTAGAATGTTTTTGTTAATAGGTTGTTGACGGCTCCAGCTATGTTCCCGGCCTAGGTCTGTGGTTGGCATCACCACAACTCCAAGCTTCCGCCACCACAGATCAAACCCCAATATCCAACCGTTCACCAACCCTTCATCAAGGAAAAAAAAAAGGGGGAACTACTCACATCTTACACCCAACCACTCTCTCATTCCTCGCCAACTCCCTATACGCCTCCGGCTCCAACACAACCCCATTGCTCACCCCGGGGTAGTTATAAATCACGACTCCCATCTCCTTACTTTTCATCCCCTCCAACACCTCCCCAAACCACCTCACCACACCCCCTTGCTCATTCCCCCAAACCCCACTCCCAAAATACCCCGGCACCAACACCAACCCATACTCCGCCCCGGCCTCTTTATAATCATCCAACCACTGCACCGTCTCTTCCACGCCTCCATTCGTCAACACACCCGCCATTATCGGAAACTTGGTAAAGCCAGCTTCGTCTAGCCCCTTGCGGACGGAGGAAATAAGGAGGGAGCGCTCGGACCGGGAAAGATGCATTGCTTCGCCTGTGCTGCCTAGGAGGACGACGCCCGTGATGCCGGAGCGCGCGAGGAAGAGTGTGTGAGAGGTTTGGGTGGTGTAGTCTACTGCTGGTTGGGTTGAAGAAAAAGTGGAGGGGGAGGAGGTGGTGAAGAAGGTTGGGGAGGGGACCCAGACGCCTTTGGGGGGGACTGAAACTGAAGACATGGTTGTGGGTGGTGGATGGTGGTTGTTGTCTGTCGATAATGCGAGATCGAGGTTGTTGGTGTTGCGAGGAGCTTTCGTTGGAAGATGTTCAAACGGTGGAAGTTGGACCGATCGGGAGAATTGCAGAGAAAAAGATCTTGCAAGAGGGAAGATTCAGCAGAGGAAGATGAAGACGAACGAAGCAGGAAGGGGACGAGGAGAAAGAGCAAGTGAAGCCCCCGATGTCACACAAGTGGAAGTCATTAGGTCACGAACTGGGGAAACTGGGTAAGTGATAGGCGGGCGTCGGCGCGGGGGAATGTCGTGTTCCTTTGTAAGTCATCGCGGGGTGCTTGGCTTCGGCAGTCGTATCACCGAATGATGCTTGTTAGTCAGTGTTAGTGCCATGTAACTCGCTGTGAACTTCACCGAGGTGGTGTTTGGTTGCAACGAACGGCAACCGGCCGGCATCTTGGGAGCTGGCCCCACTTGGCGTAAGGGGTCGGGTTCAATGTCAACAATGAAGGTCTCGCAGTATTAAAGAATGCCGACCCTGTGTAATAGAGATTGCAAGAACTGAGCTGTTTCTGTTTTCCAACAAACAAACAGCATCCCAAAAGTCGAGTCCCTGCATAGCCCACTGAAATGGCGCAGCATGGTGCCTGCCGCCAGCCCATCACTGCTTCGGAAACCCTACAATAACCTGTCAACCAAGTGTGTCATTCTCTCTCTTCCTCTGTGGAAGGACTCGCAAAGATGACGAGCTTTGGGGCCTTTTTACTCAAACTTCTACTCGAGCATTCATTCTCTAAGAAATCTTTTGTGAGTTGAGATTCTCGATTACAATGTCCATCACATTTTCGTGATGCTTCGGTGTCTGAAAAAGGGGGTGATGCCCGGTGGAAGCTGCCGCTCGATCCATCGGAGATCCCCGATGATATGGGGGTCATGAGGCTCGACTTCCCTGACAAGACCAACAAAACCCTCTCATCCATGTCGATACTGTGCAATCAGCAAGATAACCGAGATCCAGAACAGGGATAGTCTGTTTTTTTTGGATTGATAACCATGCCTGTCCTGTATGGGTTATGGGGTATGTGATCCGGATGACCGGACCCCTCTCGAGTCTCGACTTCTCTTCCGAAACAACATCTTTTGGGAGGAGATATCAAGGCAAACCCGTCGCAGTTTGATCAAGAACCTGGAGTTTCACCAGTATTCGCGCTCTCCCGTCAAACACCACTGGTCATACAATCATCTTCAAGTGTTGGCTGCCGACAAACGTTGAGTGTCCGTCACGACTTACAACACGGGAACCATCTGCGACCAAATCACCGTTACGTTCATCATCGTCGAGTCAGAAAACCACGGTGATTCAACAGTCTACAAAGAACGCTCCAATTCCTGAGAACACGGACCTGTGGCACAGCTACTTAACTCCTCGACCTTCCTTCAAATACGCTCAAGCACAACTCAGCATCCAAGCAATCACCCTCCACACAACATCGCCCATGTCCACCACAGACCAACATCCAACAACCCTCCGCCTAGCCTCAGGCAACGGCCCGATAACTCGCTCCATCCTCCCCCACCCACCTCGCGATGCCCTCCCCTCCGAGCTTCCCATCATCTCCCTCGCCCCTCTCTTCTCCTCTTCGTCCTCTCTCGCCTCTCGCATGGAAGTAGCCCAACAAATCCGCCAAGCAGCCACGACAAATGGCTTCTTCTACATCAAAGACCACGACGTCCCCTCCTCTATAATCCAAGAAGCAGAAACCGCCGCCTTCACCTTCTTCCGCTCCCCAACCTCACTCAAAGAAAAAGCAAGCATGCACAACTCCCTCTACAAATACGGCTGGAAACCTCCCCGCACGCAGCGTCTAAACCCGTTTGAGAGCGTCGACCATCGCGAGAGTTTTTCTTGGAGATATGATCCCCGCTACGACCCATCCGTTAACGACCTGGCGGAAATTCCGGAGGAAGTAATGAGATTCATCAAACATGACGCGGACGATTACCCGTGGAGTGCCGTCCCTTTGGAGTTTAAAGGGCCGGTGATTGGATATTTTCAGGCGGTTTTGGGGCTGGGAAGGGTCTTGCAAAGGGCGTTTGCGCTGAGTTTGGGATTGGAAGAGACAGCATTTGATGATAAGTCGAGGTGGCCGGATTTGGGTATGGCTGTTAATTATTATCCGCCGTTGTCCATGGAGGAAAAGGACAGAAGATGGGGGACGAGACGAGGGTGTCCATCGGCTCGCACACCGACTTCCAGCTTTTCACCATCCTCGGCCAAGACCAAGTAGGCGGTCTACAAGTCCTGTCGAGATCAGGACAATGGCTCAATGCCAAGCCGATCCCGGGAACGTTTGTGGTCAACTTTGGGGATTACATGCAGAGGATTACCAACGATAAGTATGTTAGTACGGTGCATCGGGTGCAGAACTACTCGGGAAGGGAGAGGTTGAGCATGGCGTTCTTCTTTGGGTTCAACTTGAATGAGACGTGCGAGGTTTTGGATAGCTGTGTGGATGTGGAGAAGGGAGAGGAGAAGAAGTATGAGGCTGTTAGTTGTTGGGAGTGGACGCAGAGGAGGGTGAGGATGATGCATGATGTTAAGGGGGGTGGAAGTTAGTTGTACTGAAGAAAGGGTCTAGGGGACTGGAGAGATGGTTCGAGGAGAGAGTGATTGCAGATGTTGAGTTTTGACGATGGGAGTATTTCCGCAGCTTTGGTAGGAAAGACATGCTTTCAGCATCAAGGAGGTACTCTCGTCTTTATCGAATCCATGAAGGGAAAAGCTTCCACTTGACCCTTGTTGATGGGGATGGAATGAAGTAAATGTACTTGTCCGAAGAAAGACGTATGGACAGCAAAACCCAGCAACTTTGGCTTTGAGTTCTTAAAGTATCTTGCTGATTCGCTTCTTAGAGGTACCTACGCAGTCGTCGTCGTTAGGCCTCACTCACTTGCTGCCCAATATCCGTGAGTGGCTGGCGTCTCATCCTCAGATTGTGTGACAAGGGCAGTATTCTG